GCTTTTTGCACATCAGAACAACCTCTGAATATCTAGAGCACGTGTTTGCACTTCCAGAAAAAAGTTTTTATAGACTTTAAGCTGAGAACTTTCAAAAGACTTTTCAGGGTTTAGACATTTACCATAATGAAAGATGTATTTACATATTTGATCATTGTGGAAATCCATGTTTTCGAATCTGACTGAAGTCTTGCCTAAATTTCCTCCTTCACCTGTCTTAAAAGTACCAGACTGTGCTCATCATCCTTATGTTTCAAGAAGTTCCAAAGATGTGCGACAGTCATTTTATTAAGGACACTACAGAACACAAAGCTGAGCAGCTCTGCCTGTGACGACACAGAGCACACTTCTATCTAACCAAGCTAGCACTGAAGAGGAAAAAAACTGCTTTGCCAGACAGTTTAGAAGTGACTCTATACTCAGATAAGTGTTTACGGTGAAAGAAAGGCAATTTGATCTCCGAATCAATACAGGAGAATCCAGCACATCCTGGGCATGCTTCATCAGAGTAAATCCACAGCTTTTTATTCAAATTGAACCCATTCAACAATGAAACCCTTCATGCCTGCGTAGTTAATCATTGTCTTGCTTTAACATTGAAACACTTCTGTGTTGAAAGCCTCTCTGGCTTTTCTGAATAAAAATAAATAATCCATATTTACACATTTGTAATCTGTCCACAATCCAACAGCATCGCGATTCTTAAAATGTGCAATTTAGTCATAGTCAACCCTACTGATATTGTAAAACTGTATTTTTGGACATTACTTGAAGGGCAGCCACTTCAATTCATATTCAGAGATGCCCTTTCTCCAAACAGTTCATTTGGTGTTAAATGGGAAATATCAGAAGTCCACCCCACTCTTCTCAAATACTTCAGTCATAGCAGAAATGTTTCCTGCTAGTGAGTTAAATTCCAGTTACCTCTGACTGCCTGTTTCAGACAGAAAGTCCTAAACTTTTGATGCAACATAAGAATCAAACCAAACTTTGTTCTTTGTGCCTAAACCCTATGAATACAGCAGCCAAAAGGAATCATCGCCACACCTTCTAGACTGTATCCAAGTATGTTTTGGTACATAATCCCAGTCCACATGCTAAAAAACGTGTATACTTCTACAGCTAGACTTGCAAATTTAAGAATAACTGTTTAGGGAGTAAAGGGGATCTTTCTTATAATTCAGAGCAACTTGGGAATATAAAAGCAAAATATTGCTGAAAAATTAGAAAGAAAAATCCTAAAATGTCCCTTATATACAAATGACCTACGATGCCACCTTGAATGGGGACAAATGAGACATCTTTATTAGGATTTTGACTGAGCAGGCACAGATACATTCTAGTGTAGCAGATTTAAATGTGTTTGTGAGCTGTAATTAAAAGTCTGAATGACATAACTTTTCATGAATATGAACACCTACCAGAACAGGGATGTTGCTCCCAGCTAGTCTCAGAAAAGTACTTAATTATCAAAGAATTACTTCCTGGCCTACATACAGAGACATCACAATTCCAGAATATTAGGCTGCCCGCAGACTCCATCCATCCTGGTAAAACGTGCATGTTTCTGAATTGATACTACTACTTACATAAGCAATTCAAGTACAGCCATTGCATACAAGTATATACTATACTACTATTTAGATTTACTCTGACAGGTATCAGAACTGTGGCTACTGTTAATCTGCCTTTCTAAGTGCAGTGACAGCGTCCATTAATTTGGGAATTACTGAAAGTTGTGGTATAGGAAGATCATGAGGGATTTTTTTTGGTTTTTTTGTGTTTTGTTTTTGGTTGTGGTTTTTTTTTTACCTTGTGTAACTTTGCTGTGTAGGGTGAGCTGACACAGCATACATTCCTATAATTAAGGCAACTGCATGAGTGCTGAAAAACTCCTACAAATATTGCATATAAATAAATCATAGGTTTAAAGCCAAAAGGAACCTTTAAATGATTTCCTGTTAGTTCACATAATTATATTTCATTAAGTTCTAATGTGCCAAACCCAGTAACTTATTAAAACAAGCTACCTTCTCCAGAGGTGTAATCATTTTTTGATTTGAAGATAGAGGTGGAGAATTTGTTACCTCCACAAATAGTTTGTTGTAATGAGGGAAAAAGCACAATCTTCCTGTTAAAAATGTGTGCTTTTTTAAATTAACTTCAGGTCTGGGCTACTGGTTCTTGCTTAGCCTATCTCTGCTGGGATATAGAGGCCTTTGGTAGTTTTTAATCTTCAAGATACGTGTATATTAATCAGTCTTCTTAATGCAATACGAGTTCTTGCACAACCTTTTCTCTTCTGCTGAATCATCTGTGGTTCTGTGCCTTACCCAATATTTCAACATCCTTTCTGAAATGTATGCATTCCTTCCTTACCTAAATAAGGCTACACCACAATAAAGTTTTTCCCTACTGTTCACTTTTCTCCTATTTATACAAGAAACATTTTAGTGCCTTGGCTCACAGTAAGAACATTTGTCCAGTTCTAACCTTTAATCCTCTGCAGGATAGTCTCTGTATTCCTAGAATCAGCCATTTTGGAGATCTCTCAAATTCTGTGCTCCTACATACATAACCTGGCATTTAGTTGTATTGAAATGATACAAGTCACACGTTACTAACTTAAATTAGCAAAAAAAAAAGTTAATCGGTCTTTGGAGTAAATGCCATTTTTTGCTTTCTACCCAAAAATTGTGGAAGAAAATTGACTAATATAGGTCTTGGAACCTTTCCCAGGAAACCCTTTTGGAAACACCAGTAATTCTTTACTGACATCTTAAAGGGTAGTTGTCAGTGGTAGGAAGCACTTGGGTCTTTAAGGCAGTTCTTGACTTGAAGGTCTACATTTCTTTTGGCAATGTAAAGCAACATTTCAATTTCACATGATCACATGATGTCATGCAGAAAGAGCATGTACAATACTTTGCACTTCCTGCCCTTGGACAAATACTCAAGCTTCCAAATAAAATGGATTTACAGATCAGCACTACCGTAATTTCCCCACCCCCACCACTCACCAGCAGATATATTAGGAATGTAGTCATTTTATTCTGTTTAGTCTTTTAAGTAATAAGGAATATCTGTAAGGAAGACAGGAAATTAAACATTTACATCCTTCTTCCCCCAATACTTCCTCCCAGTCTTACAAACCTCAATGTCAAAGCCTACAGTCTTTATCCAGACACGCTTCAGGGCTTTCAAGTGAGGAAAATGTGTTCACAGGCAATTCTTTAGCTTGGAAGAGTTGAAAATAAACAGAAACCCATTTATTTCTATAGGTTCAAGAAACCTTTTTGCTAGCTTCCCATCAGGTGAATTTAAGTAGATGGATCCTGCTGAATAAGTGGTTAATACTTCATTATGTAGCAATTTTCAGAAGCAGCCTTCCAGGACGTGTGATAACTTTGATATCTTATCTTTAAACTGGTAGCATGTTATTTCACATACAAACTCACCTTAATTAGCTAGACTTATCTGAGAAAGTACTAGTCAACTAAGAAAGAGTGAGACTGAATGATGGATAGCATTATTTAATAACTTTCCTCAACTGTCCACATAGCATCAGCACCCAAGTTGCTCATGAATCAGTTTCTGAACAGTTCAGCATTTTCAGCTAATCAGTGCAACATACTTTAAAACAGCCTCTCCTAAGTTGTAGTAGTAGTTGAGCATTTATGTACAGACTACCAGCCACCCAACACTACAGTCTGTGTTGTGATGAATTTGATGTTAAGAACACAGACAGAATAAAAGCCACAGTACAGTACCATAAGGGAGAGATGGCAAGTTTGTCACAAAAAGGAAACACAATTGAAGTGGGCCTTGACTTCTTGAGTGAATTTCCCATCCTGCATTGCTTTAGCTGGTGCTATAAAAACAATTTTCTCCAAATCTTGACAGCACAAAAACATCTTTTGCGTATCTACCTCTCCCAAACACTGAATGAGGATCTCCATGGCCACTACCACGTCCAAAAGAAACTGCCTCTTTCACACACTAAATTCTTTTCAACAAGAAAGGAAGTGCTGGTAGCCTATAGGTGTATACTTCAGAAAGACATTATTCTGCTTCTGTCACATTTAACAAGGTACAGTAGGAAACAGAGGCACTGAAATCCTTTTCCCAACACAGATCTGCTCTCAGCCTACAACGTGGACAAGATTTGCTGATGCTACAGTAAAAGCATGAATACCTGCAATTATAAAGTGGGCTGAAGCCATGTTGTAACCCTTTTCATGATTTCATCTGTTTTCTAGAATTGTGATGTCCTGATGTCTGGTATGAAGATAATCATCATAGAGTTATATTTATCATGCAGCAACTAGGCACCTGCTCTGCCACCCCAATTTCATTTACAGTTCAGTAGCAACAACTGCTGTAGCAAAAGTTGACCATGATTTGTTGGTACATAACCAAGATATTGTTTAAAGCTACAAAGATAGATAATATGGTGGTTAAGGAAGATACTAGATGCCTTTTATTATAGGCTTTCTCTGTGTGTTAAGATAAAATGGGAGGAAGGGCACGAGGTGACAACACTCAATAGTGTAGTATTTCCATCCCCTCCAAACATTCAAAACAAGTGTAGATGTTGCTGGTTCTTGCAGATGAGTTCTATAACAGGTTATCTTTTTCCACCATATTAAATCAGTCAGGTTTGTCCTAATGAGGTTAGAACCAAGCAAAGGGAAGCCATTTTAAAATAGTTATACTGTCAAGGGGAGAGTCAGACGTAATACACTTTAGTACGTACTTTCTATACGTGGTCTTTTTCAAAGAAAATTTCCAGTTACATCCTGATGTGCCTAAGCACCAAAGCAGTAATCATTTAAACCATTTTAAAAGCTGCTTCTCACATAGGAAAAGGTCAGTCAAGCAATTCAGATCTTGAACTAGATCCTTCCATGATTATTAATGTCATTATAACCATATATGTGGTTTACAATGTGCTCCAAATAAAGGTGAAGGCCAGTATACACTGACCCCTACCACAGATATGAAGGTAAGATGAAGTCATAAGCATATTCCTGATTTATCAGTCATCATGTACTTTCTATGTCAGTCTTATCACGTGCCATCTCTCAGCAGAAACAGCAATATAATCTGGCATGTTAAGAATGGCTCATGTACAGTGTTATGACATTAACTGCAGATTTCCTCAAGCCTTCTGTCACTGAATGCCAGGAAACAGACAGGCAGGAGCTGCTCTCACATATGACTATTCCAGCCCAGCAACGTCCCATTCCTAAAACTAGGATGCTAGCTAATACCTCAGCTTCAGCAGACCCGTAGTTCATTCTCTAAGCCATAGATTTTTGCTTTTAAGTTTTTTAGTTCTCCTTGAATTTTACGGGTTAGTCTGTTTCCTTGGCGGACCTCATGGAGAATTGCAAGATCCTGGTCTGGTCCAATATTCAGAGTCACCTAAAAAGGAAAAGAAAAACAAACTAAGAAAACAGGGCAGTACAGAATACAATTTAGAAAGTATTATGACGAGGATATGAGGGAGAGAATGGTAAAGGAGACCCTTTGTAGCTAGCAAAGAGGATGCTTAAGCTAATATCACTAGGCTAATACATATCACCAATAGAAAGGTGCTCCAGAAATAAAAATAAAGAACAAAGCTTTCATACATTATGGTATTGTATTACTTGTGAGAAAGAAATCTGGATAGAAAATAATCAAGTTTACCCATAACTTGTCAACTCTTTTCCAATTCCTGCATTATTTAGAGACCCACAAAAAAAAGGCAAGTTAAATTATTTATCAGCTAACTTTTATGTGGTTCTAAGTACCTCACCTGATATGATGACATTTTGTCATCTTTTGCTACTAGAACTAGAGGTGGTTTAACAGCTGTGGCCAACCTGCTGCCTTCTGAACAGCACACAATTCAAGAGCAGTTCAAGACAATGCCTAGTCTCAGGCCATGCCATATGGCCCATACTGAGCCGAACAAAGGCTCTGGATAATCAGAATTCCTCATGGCAAGCTAGCCAGGGCTGCCATTTCCTGTCACCCTGGAACTGGATAGATAGCATGCCAGCCCAGCCACTTTCAACAGCAGAGCAGCACAGCCTTGGAAGCTGCTCTCAAAGCCCTCTTTTCTCTCGACCCTTTAGGGCGTCTCGTTGTCATCATGTAGTTCTTGGTCAAAGACTTTAATACGCAAATCAGAAAATTTAGTCATCTGTAGTCATTTTGACCTCAAGTGATGAGAAGGATTTAAAGATCACTCTGAAGACTTCTAGCAAGTGTTTTGTTCCTCTGCCCTCTTGTGGTTAAAAGTGTAAAGAAATGAAGAATACAATTAAGAGGACGCTCACAGTTACAAAACTTACAGGTCTGTAGTAAAGGTATATAGGCAATTTTTCCCCCATTCACATATGCTGTTTAGTCCTTAAAGAATAAAGTTTAAAAACTCACAGCCCAAGAAAAAAACAGAAAAAAACCAAACAAAAAACCCCAACACAAAAACAAACAAACAAAAAATTGAAGTAATTAGGGAAGACAAGTGCATTAGTCTAATTAAACTGAACTGTGTGCCAAAAGTACAGAAAACAAATGAATTGGTGGCACTGCCAGATTCCTGAAGGAGAGTCAGTTGAACAAAAACTATGCCTAGATCAACCTCCTAAGCATATCTTAGATAAATATCTCATCCTAAACTCCAAGCAACATCAAGGCTGTGACTTCCCTTCTAAGCTGTTCTGATGTTCATCTACACATCTGGAAGGTACTAGAGAGTACACAGCTTCAAGTTCCAGCCATTGTTTCTGCAGCGATTTTTGCAGAGTTACAACTGAGATATTAACAAAGGAATAAATAGAATATTCACAATACTTAAGTCAATGATCTACCTCTTACTGGAACAAAACCAAACACTATGGCCCCCAGAAAGAAAACCAATCAGTATTTTCTCTGCAGGATATACTTCTGAAACTACTTAGCTGTCTCAAGACTGCAAGGCAGTAAAGTGAGCTACAGGCATCAAATAAGAACTCTCAGAGTTGCAACAAAAATACACAGCTAATGTATAATCAGGACAGTTCCTGGCAAGCTTGATGCCTGATTAACAAAGACAAATTTTTTTTTTCTTCATAAAATACATAAGAGGGCAAGTTTTTTCAAATATTAATAGCTAAAGGAACACTTAGGAAAGAAATTATTTCCTTAACTCTAGGGAAATACTGCATTTAAATACTGAGAATACACCTCTATAGGGTAAGCTCATAATAGTCTGCCTCAGAAATGCTTAGCAATTACCATAAAAAGCTGCTTCTCTACATCTTTCAACTTCTGCCGAAGCTGTTTAATGTCATTCTTGAAGCCTTCCACTTCCATATTACGACGCTTTTCCAAGGCTTCATATCGCTGAGTCATCAGCTTCAGGCGCTTCCCCATCTTTTCTGAGCGTTCCTATGGAGATGAAAACTCAATAGGGTATACAAAATAAAACCTGCAAGATCATCACACAGCTAGCAGATGATTACAGACTAATTACCTTAAAGAGTTCTCTGCCAACATCTCCCTCCTCACGAATCCTAGCCAGCTCACCTTCCAGGGTGACACACTGCTCTCTATACATGTTTGATAGGTGCCGTTCCTGCACTAGCTGTTCTTGCAGTGACTAGGACATAGGAGGAACAGAAAGAATCAACTCAAAAGCCAGTGCTCACAAAATTTCAATTGCTCTGGAAAAGCAAGTATGATAGATTGACAATATGACAGGCAAATAAAAATTAACAATTGGAGCTACAGCTAAGGAGATAACCAGGTAAGGACAATATTCTAAACCCACTTCCATTACCAAAACCTTTTCATTAGATTATCGGTTCTGCCTGACTGCTCATCATCAAAGAACTCTCTCCTCTTCCCCTTAAAAATAATATTCAACTAATGCTGTAATTCCGCTTCTCACAGCTGCTTGCCCATTACTGCATTTCATTCAGTAGTAGATGAAAACAATTCCCTATTACTTGTTTACTTTCCAATTCCTTATTCCCTGTTTACCCACTTCAGATCTCCCAACTTCTCACTGGAAGTATACCTGAAGTGGAAATAAAATCCTGACTACTGTAGAAGAGCTGGGGGACATCAACTGAAAGGACTTATTCTCCCCCAACAGCAGCAAGGAACATATAGACACTGCATTCTAAGTCCATTAGCTGAGACCATTTACACTAAAAGAAAGGCATGTGCAACAAGCAGGTTAAGAACTGTTGGCCCACATATCACACAGTTTGCAGAAGTAGGGAATTGTCCTGGGCATAAAAGAAACTGACAGTGAAGTGCTACCGTAAGTCATGGCAAGCCACTACAGCTTTGAAACAGCTGCTAGCTACTGCCTATCTAGGCAAAACCCAGATGCTTCCAATTTTCTAGTCGAAAACTGTTAAAGAGCCTCTACCTAGGACAAAAACAAATTACCTTTATTTCTCTGCTGTGGAGTTTCCAAGCTCCATCATCTGCTCGAAGCATCTTCTTGGTATCTCTCTGCTTCTTCTCTCTTCCTGGCTCCCTACTGATAGTAAACTGATCCAGATATTTGTCAAGTTTCCTCAGCAGACTGTCCTTCTCTGCCATCCATGCTTTCTCATTGGCTCGGGCATCAAACTTGAGCTGAAGAAAGTCACGGGTACTCTCATATAAGAGATTTTGGGTCTTATGGAGTCTGTAAAAAGGGATCGCAGTGGAGTTAATTAACTTCTTTCCTAGTTCCTACTTTAATTTCCTCAGTCATCACTGCAAGTTGGAAGAAGCATGGAGGAGAAAGATAGGTGTTTTCCTAACGAGTTTAGCTCTTCTTATCTAATGAAAGAAGTGATATTCTTCCAATGTGAAATAGGATTTTTAATATGTAGATTACTCCATCTTACACATTACTACACACACTACCAAAGAGATGGCTCATAATTTGCTTTTCTGCCTGCTGCAGAAAGCAACATACTGAAAGCCAAAATATTTCTATTGTTCCCCTCTCTTCTCATCTCATGACTACATCATGGTTATTCTCTCACACTCACTTATCTGTTATAGTTTTGATCTTGTCCTGGTCCCTCTGATGCTGGAGCTGGGCTTCCTCCATGTGAATCCGCCTGTCCTCTAGTAGTGCCTCAACCTGTTCCTTGGATAATCGTGTCTGTTCTTCTATCTGAGCTTGCAGGGCCTCCACCTGAATAAGCAAACACATTACTGAATAAGACCTCACAGCAACTCTGCTCCTGTCCTTGCAAGTCTCTTAAATTCCAAGATTCAGATCAAAGACTCTACCCCATAATACCTTTGAGAGTTCTAATTTCTCAAATTTTTATTTTTGTTTTAATGCTAAGTATTTCAAACAGCTAAAACATTTTAAGAAAAAAATCATGCTAAAGGCAAGACAGGCATATTATAAGCAGCAACAGTAGATCGAAGATATTGGAAAGATTTAAATTGCACAAAGGATGTGACAAATCCTTTGGAATATGCAGAGACACTTCTGTCCCTGTGCTACCAACTTCCAATGAAATGGTGATATAAAAACCCCCTAAATTCTAGGAAGGCAGCAAGTCCACATATCTTGAACAAAATAAATTACTCAACCAGAATGAATTACTAAATGTAAACAAGATGAGTGAAGGAGAGGGATGCAAAGACTCTTGATCTAGGGCACATAGTCAGGGAGACAAATTGGAACAAGTAATTGAAAAATGTGCATCTGGCCTATGTGTAAGAAACTATCTGAAAAAACTTTGCATGTATTTAGATAGCTTATTTTATGACAATTTTGTATAATGCTCTTGCTCCAGAATAAATGTTGTTAGACAGCTAACTGGCTACTAGGTCAGTCACCACTGCCCTCGAACAACAACAAAACTTAAAAAAAATAAATCTATCTGCTGTACAAGTTTGCTCTTTAATTTGCTTTTCTTGACTCATACTTCCTCATGCTTTAGACACAGCTTCTGGTATCTTCCCTAATTCATGATTCTGTACATTTTATCTTTCATTCTGTCATGCTGTCTACACCCTATCTTTCACTGAAGTCTAGCAAAGGGAACATGCCATTGTACTAGTGCATCCACAAAATATCCAACCCCGCAGATCTTCTGTGTGTTTAATGTAAATTCATAGGCACAATCAAATTACAGGAGATAACATCAATTCCACCTTCTGTATTTAAGGGCAACATATTCCAGCTGACATTACTGGAACATCTACTTACATAAAGCTTCCTGAATCAGATGCAAGTTCTTAAATCTAAGCTTATATTCATTGCAAAGAAACAGCTAAGTAAACAGATGGAAAGTGGGAATCCATAGTAAGACGTGGGGACTGATAAAATTGGTATGTCTACATCTTATCTAAGCAGACAGCATATTTGTCTATCATAATTTCTTGGACAGCCAGGAATTATGTCCATCACGTAGCAAATGTTTTTACCTGAAGTAGAAGTGTTTGATTATCTCTCTGATATCTCTCAGGACCTTCTGGTTTCTCTCCTTTTGCTGCTGGTTTTGAAGTGCTCCTCTTGGTGCCTATCGCAGAAATTTAACAGAAGTAGAAAAGAGTTTTCCAATCTACCTGCAGTATCTTTCCAAGCACGAAATATTGTATGTTCTGGCAGGCCTACAAGAACAGGAAAAAACTTGCCACTGCTGCAGTCACAAGGACTTCTAGCAGGGCTAGCTGGAAGAAAAGAGTTTCAGAACTTATGGTGATCCTATACCTTTATCCCACACTATCACACCACAATATTTAGGCAACCTACTAATTTTCTTGGCATATATAGAAAGCAAACTTAAATTTTCTTAAATAAATGATGAAGAGGCAGATGACACAGTTGCACAAGCATGAAGCCTTGAATGAGTTTTGAGTGTTAGCTAATTTCAGTCAATTTGGAAGAGGCAGTGCTTTCAAAAGAGAAAATCAGTAAGTAGGCATACAGACCCACACTGCTGTCTACACTAAAGGCAGGCAGAACCCCACACCTTGGAATGGCTGTGGCTAAGGGTGCCTGTCCAGTTGGTACCTGCATAGTTCCATAACAGCCATTCCACAGTCATACCAGCCTTTTTCTTAGCTGAGCAGATCATGGACACGAGAGCCAGCTCAGATTATTTTAAAAGATTTCAAAGGGAAGCCAACAGTACTGCATATATATGTGTATGTACACATGGATACATTTAGGGAGCTTAATGGAGGTATACTAAAGTATTCACAGTAAGGAATTATTTCGGTATACCAGACACAAACACGCAGAGAAATAAGTATCAATAGCTGAGCTGCTGCTCATCAGCTTGGTGTGGTACCTGTTCTAGAAGTATCATTTCGTTCATGTGACTCTCTGGATTTAGCTGGCCTTTGCAGAACAGTAACCTACAGAAACAAGATTAGATATCTGCGCTGAACATTTGACTTCTCCAAAGTTGCAATGGTCAAGAACAAATCTTAAAGAGTAAAATGAAATATCCAAAAGAACAGCATTACCTTACTTCTACCACAAGACAAGGAAGACATTCACAAGTGTCATTAGTCTGTGTTGAAAAGTTTCCTTTATCATGGCTGAGTTTTGCCATTTCTGCCTCTATTTTTTTTCACTGAAAGGTAACTGGAAAGTAATCCTGCCTTTGCTGGCTTCATTAGGATGAAAGTCAGCACCCTCGACAGGAAAAGGAGCATTTTGGGGACAGAGAGAAGAGGAGGAAGGTGAAGATGAAGATTATGTTATTTCCTTCTTTCATGCTCCTTCTTGCCTTAGCAAGACAGAGAAACATGAAGCTTGATTTATCAGCACATTCACTCAAGCTACTGAACAAGCCTGGAATAAAAGCTAACCAATAAAACTATTGAAACAATTCAACTGCTGAACTGAAACCCACTTAACAAAAACTGAAGGCCATGAGGGAGCAGGTTATAACCCCAATGCTTATCTTAAGGTTGATGCTATATAATAGGCCTAATTTTAGAGCTACCCCGTATCAGGGAATTTTAAAGCTTCTGCAAGATTTTTTAACTGCTTGAGCAATGTAGAACAACCACAAACAATGCAGCATATTTCAGCCTCTTTCTGTGCCTTAATCCAAGATAAATCCTATACTCCATCATAGTCTCTGTGTGTCCAAATCATTTGTGATTCATGACTTTAAGTAGGTTCAACTACACTGCACTTCATATGCACTGCCATTTAATCAATTTAGCATTATTTCTGAAATATGCAATACAATATTGCCTAGAGGGGATGGCTCTTCTGCAGTCTCTTGCTCAGGAAACTACTGCAGCAACTTCAACACAGCTTTACTCTTTACCGAGGCCCTAAGAGATAGGCACTCTGAGATAGCTGATCTTCAAGCACCGCACCTGGTCATTTTCTGCACTTCCTTTTTTTCTTTTTCTCTTTGTGGTATTCTCTCCAACTTCTCAATGACCATTTGCCAGATGGCTTCAGACTCCCATCTGACACTTAGGAGGCTGATCTGGAAGTATGCATGAAGGTAGAAGGGGACTGATGCTAAGAGGACCTACTTCCAGTGTGCTACTTATCTGTCAGCAGCTATACTAAAACCTGATGTTGCTACAGAGCTAGATACCTCCTGCTTTGGGCTCATTTAGCAGCTTTTGACTTGCGGGACAGATCTGGTCTGTGGTCAGCCTCTGGGGTACAGATCTTCAAGTTACAATCAAAAGCAGAGTTCTACAGACAAACGGAACTTGCCTTATGTGGAGGCTCCTTGTGAAAATATGTAACTTCTCCTCTGTCTGTTCCCACTAAAGCCAGGAGATGTTGAATTTTTTTTCTATCCTCCAGTTCCCTGGAATTCAAGGAAAGTGGTCAGCACATTGCTATTTTTAAGTACATCAAGACATTGTGGAACACTGTCTTTCTAGTTTACTTGTTAATGCTTACAAGTTTTCCAAGCTATTGCAGTTCTTGAGAATACTGCTTTAAAAACAAAATCCCAAAGACATTACTGATGTTGCCAATACAATAAGAACACCACCAATTCTGCTGGCACTGGGGAGCATTGCTCTTTTCAAATATGATACTACATAGACTGATACAGCAATAGCACGTGGTGGTAAAGAATTTGCATTTCAGAGTTATGAACTACCTAAAATCCTTTCAGATACTTCATTCAACAGATTGTAAGTGTCCATTGTTTTTAAAGCAAACTACGTTAAGGGCTATATCAGAGATTCCCCTGCAGCCCATGGTGAAGACCATGGTGAGGCAGGCTGTCCCCTGCAGCCCAGGGAGGTCCACGGTGGAGCAGATCTCCACCTGCAGCCTGTGGAGGACCCCACGCCAGAGCAGGTGGATGCCCGAAGGAGGCTGTGACCCCATGGGAAGCCTGTGCTGGAGCAGGCTCCTGGCAGGACCTGTGGACCCACGGAGAAAGGAGCCCATGCTGGAGCAGGTTTGCTGGCAGGACTTGTGACCCTGCAGGGGAGCCATGCTGGTGTGGTGTCTGTTCCTGAAGGACTGCACCCTGTAGAAAGGGCCCCACAGCGGAGAAGTTTGTAAAGGACTGTCTCCCATGGGTGGGACCCCACATTGGAGCAGGGGAAGAGAGCGAGGAGGAAGCAGCCGCAGAGACAGCATGTGATGAACTGACTGCAACCCCCATTCCCCATCCCCCTGTGTCGCTCAGTGAGAGGAGGTAGAAAATTTGGGAGTGAAGTTGAGCCCAGGAAGAAAGGGAGGTGGCAGTAAGGTGTTTCAAGATTTGTTTTTATTTCTCATTATCCTATTCTGATTTGATTGGTAATAAATGAATTTCCCCAAGTCAAGTCTGTTTTGCCCGTGATGGGAATTGGTGAATGATCTCTCCCTGTCCTGATCTTGACCCACAAGCCTTTTGTTGTAGTTTTTCTCCCCCTGTCCAGCTGAGAAGGGAAGTGATAGAGCAGCTTGGTGGGCACCTGGCGTCCAGTCAAGGTCAACCCACCACAGTCTGCTTAAATCAGAACCTCCATATTCAAACTGGCAACTCACAATTAAAATCTGAATATGTTCAACTTCTGCTCTTGCTTCTACTATCGGAATAGGAGGAATAAGTGGAAACATATTTAGCAGCCCAACAGATTGCATCCCACCTCCAAGATTGGTACAATTTCATAGGAGCCCTCCCTGGGAAGCATGGCATAAGTGCTTCTCTGAAGACTCCAGATCTGGATGAGAATTAGAACACAATGCATGCAATTGCTACTGCGCCAGTGACCCAGCTCACCAGCTAAGACAGCACACCTGATTTTCAGCCGGTCATTCTCTGAGTAAAGACGAAGGATGTGTTCCCTCTCCTGGAAGAGGTAGACTTGCATATCACTCAAAGCCTTTTGCAACTCCGCAATCTCCTCTTCTCGCTGATGTACTTCCCATTGCAATTTGTGCTAGGTAGAGAGAAGGAGGTACTTGAAATGATACAGAGCATTGGGCAACACTTAGAAACTTCAAACTGCTTGTGCCTTGAGCCTGTAACTGGTATTGAGCAACTGCCAGTTCGAGTGAATTATTTCACTCTCTTACAAAATTCGACCAGATGAGGGCAGTATTGAAAAATTATTAAAAAACGTTTCAAGAGGGAGTTCAGAGCCCTGAAAATCATTGTCACTATGCAACAGTCAAATAAGGTCTAAGCTAGGATCTCCAGTTTCCAGTGGTCGCACTTCTGCACTGGCAGTCAGTGCGGCACAGGTATGGGGAGTCTGACGTCAACAAAAACCTAGCAAAGCCTCTGTAATAGCACTTACTCTTAAAAGAAATTACTGAAGAATAAACATTAAAATATCCGTATGGTTCAGTAGTAAGAAATCTGCTAGCTACTAGGTGCCATTAATGATTTTCTACCTGGTGCGGAAAACTAACAAACCTTTCAGAAAACCATTCCTGTAGGAGAGAAGACACTATTTTGGAACCTGCCCCTCTTTTTCCCATATGTTGAATGAAAGTAAGTTGTATGCCACATGTTTCCCGAGGGCTTTCAGGCTGCTTCAAGCATGGCCAGTACTTGAGGAGGCACCTCAGTCACCTCAGAAGTGACCATTCTATTCCCAAAGTGCCATTCACAATTACAAATATGACTGCTAGACAGATGTATGCTGTAAGGCATATCAGAGCACTGAATATGTTACAGATATTCTCTAAGATTTCTTCCTCTTAAAAGGCTTTTTTTTTTTTTTTTTAGGTTTTGGAGATTCTTTTAAATTCGTATTTATTTGCTGTGTAGTATACTGCTTAATAGCCTACAGCCAAGCTTATGAATTCCATTGCAGTAAATACAAATTATATCTGTATCTCAAAGCCCATTAAATTTGGACAAAAGAGCACTCATTCTTCACTGTGAGAAACAAGGGAAAGAAGTCGGACAAAATGAAAACTGAACATCTAAACTCAGGCTTTAATTTAAAAAAAAACAGAAACAAACAACCCACTGTGAAGATATAACCAAACTATAATAATTTAAGAATAGAAGAATATCCTCCAGGCATGTTTGTTTGCTTTGACAGAGGACAGACAGCTAGATTTTACAATCAAACCCTGAAATCAACTTCTTAGCTTAGTTCTACCACATTACTGGTAAATCTTAAGACCATCTGTGCTGAGTTTTCAACTGAAGAAAAATATTAAGTTTTTGTAAGGATACATAGTCCATCATAATTCAAAAACTTTTCCTAACCTGCTCATCATACGTTTCTTTGTATCTCTCCAGCCTTTTCACCAAATCCTCATGTTCCTCATCAAAGTCATCAATCTTCTTGCGGTAGTATTCCAGCAGCTCCCGGGAGGGCCGGAGAAAGGCCAAGCGCTCATTGATTGAAGGGAGAGGAGTAAAGTCCTGCTGACTCGGAGACCGAGAACTAGCATATCTGGATGAGACATGGGGGGTTGCAAGCCTGGGCAGAAACAGTTTCTAATGACATGTAAGATTCAGACAATAAAATGAAAAAACCTTTCTAAAATAGTTAAAAAAAGATTTTCAATTTTAACTCAGATTCAATTTCAAACACAGATTAGCTTGTCTGTGCTCCGAGTATTAACAGGAGATCACGGCATTTTGGAGAACCAAAAGCTTTGATATAGAACAGCTTGCAGGCTTACTATACTGTGGAGATGGGGCCAACTGATGGAAAAGGGAGAAAGAAAAATGTTACTGAAGGAGACTCTCACAGGTTATTTGGGGAGAGTGAACATGAAAGGAAGAGGAGGAAAGAAAAGAAGGAGAAAACAAAGGGGACAAAAAGTCCATTGTTTTGCAATTAGAAGCAGCAGCCACTGTGAGATAAACAGGAAGACATAATCTGTGATGAAATCACTATCTGATATCCAGAGAGAAAAACACTTTCAGAAGAAAGACTGTCGAATAAACACAATAATTCAGGTTAGCTGATGCACCAGCCACCAGAATTTAAGGTGTAGGTCTAGGAATCTACATGCTTTCCTTTCTGGTGTACTTGATGGTCTTATCCACATCGCTTGTTCACCCTTGACAGTAAAATAGAAGCTTCCAAGTTCGTGAATCTTATGTTGAGGTACTACATGGAAAGCATGTCAATATTGCATAAGTCAAACGAAGAATAAGTATGTGTAATTACAGATCTGATTTTTCTTTTAAACAATGTTTACTGCATTCAAACAGTTAACCTGCTCAAACAAGCACCAAATTTGCAAATAGAGCTGCATACAGAGTTCAAAATTCCCTTGGGAAGTGTTCTTTTCGTTATTTATGTTGATCTAACAAACACTTTTTTTTTTTTTTTTAACGATACCATGAGTAACAGAATTACAGCTAAGAAGCCTCTTTACTAAAGATCTGCTTAACAAAAACACAGTCCAGAATCTGATTCTGGAGCCAGTGCCAGAACTTTGATCATAAAATGATCTGTCAGGTGACACTGAGGCAGCGGTGACCTTTAAGGACCAGCTCACCAAAGCTGCTTAGATCAGAACCCCAACGTGCTACATCCATGAAAACACGCCAAGCTCCTTAACTCCTGGCACTGCAGTAAAGTATTAAATGCACAATAACACGATCAATTAACATAGGAACGCTCCCTCCAGCTGCGCCCAGAAATGCCTTAAACACCACACTTGGAAAAATAAATAACAGCAAGAGAAGAAAACAGGTAACATAGGCACAAGGTGAATAGTTTATTACTGAACTAAGGAACAGTAGAAACGGAAAGGCCTAAGGACAGGGAAGCGCAGCAGGTACCAGAGCGGACAAAACGGTGCCTTCTGTTAAGCCTGGCTACCGGACAGAACGAGAAGAGCTGCGGGGCCAGAGCCCCCAGAGCAGTTTCGGCGCGGGGTGACTGCGGAGGCAGCCCCCACACTACCTTCTGGAGCGAGGGGAGCTCCCCGGAGAGCAGTCCGTCGCGCTCATGGCGCCCCTGAGGAAGGGCCGGGCTGACGGCGGGTAGGGGACAGAAGCTTCGAGCCGGGGCTCAGCCGGGCCGCCTGCGGCGCCGGGTACCCCGGGAAGCTGGCGGAGGTGGGGGGTGCCCGGCGGAAACACAAGCTAAGGCGCGTCGCAGGCCCCGCTGGGAACGGCCATAGGGGCCCTGGGGGACCCCCTGCCGAACAACCCAGGGACAAGCTCCCGAGGCAGCGCGGGAGGGGGCCGGCACCACCGGCACCCGCCGCCGCCTCACGGGCCTCTACCGCCAGAGGCCCCCAACGGCAAAACAACCGCCGCCGCTGGCCCTCCACAACTCAAACGGCGAGGCAACCCGCCGCCCGCCGCCTCCCCCAATCACGGGCAGCCTTCCAGGCGGCGCCGACCACCTCTACCAATCAGCGCTCGCGACACGGGCGGCAGGCGCTCCCCGCCGGCGCCTCCGGGAGTTGTAGTCCTTGGGTGTGGGGGCGGCAGTGCGCCTGCGCGGTGGGCGGGGCGTTTATTTGGGGAAGAAAGATGGGGCCTGGGCTGAGTGCCCCGGTCTGTGTGATGGCGGGGCTTAGGGCAGAAGAAAGGCAGCCTACAGCGGGGACTCACGTCGTCGGCAGCGGCACACAAGCCACCCGGACACCCGTTTGGCTTCGAAAATGGACTGAACGAAACGCGGGGGTTGTGAAGCAGTTACCGGTTCGAATTCTGGCTGAATATCCACGCGTATTGTTCAGATGCTTTTTCGCCTCTTCGTCCCCACATGTGTCTTCCCATACCCAGCAGTGCTTAGTATTCTTCTCACAATTTGTGCAGTACGCTAATTTACTACTGATTTTCCTAATTTACTTAGTAAATGTGCTGGAAAAAAACCTGCATGCTAATAAGCCAGCTTTTTTCCTTAACCATTTCTTTAAAGAAATGGACTTCCTGTATTTAAAAAAAAAAAGATCTAGGCTTACTTACAAAACTATGAGGTCCTTCATCAAATCAATTTTCTCAATAAATAGAGGAAAGAGGAGGGTAGATCATTTTCTGGGCAAAGTCTAGAAGAAAGGCTGCTATTATCCTTGGTTAGGCTAGCTGCTCTCTCCGTTTCTCATAAAGCAGTGCAATATATTGTACAAGGGGCTGAAGTCTTCTCTGGAGGAAGTAATAAATGCTTCCAGATGACCAAGAAGAATCAGGATTGATGTGGGGTACACAAGTCCCAGCGTGGCCCAGTGTGTCAGAGGCCCCCAAACCAGAGGGTGTAACTGAGAAAAGCGTGAAAGTCTGTTTCAAAAAGGGTATCCTGCAGAACAGATAAAATGAAAAAATGCCCCCACACAGGTTATTTGGGATTTTTAGCTTTTTACTCTGTTAGGAAAACCCGCATCCTTCCCAGCAGCGCCTTCCAGAGCTCTCCACATCCCCAAACATATTAACACAAAGCCAAAACAACCTTGAATGGTCTAGAAGGACATCAGCAAAAGACTGGTTCTCAAAACAAAGCTTTTGCATGGATTTTGTGCTTTCTAGCACGGAGTTTTTTCCCCTCTAGTACTCCTGGCTAAATCGCTGCTTATCTTGGAAATTGGGTATGTTGGTTCTGAGTCTCCTGTTGGGAATACAATATACATACAGATACATTTCCTCAAACAAATCTGGTACAGCTTATCAGAAGAGAGACACAACCAAATAATAAAAGAAAAAAATGGCAGGAGTATGTAGAAATAGAATTTCTAGATACTGCTAAGGAAACATCTGCACTTCACATGCTTTTACAGTCATAAATGTATCAAGCATCCATGTCAGGAACCCCCTGCAAAATATGAGAAGACATTGCAGCAACACAATAACAATTGGTATATTCATTCAATGTTTTGTAAGATCAGTTTGCTCTTATGTATAACTTTTGTCAAAATTAGCTATTCGCATTGGAGCCATTTGTTTCCCGTATGTAAAATGTGGGTGACGCCTCTTCAGTCTGGCAGGGATGCGATGCAGATAAATGTATTTGCCTGTCTGAAGGTGATCTTGCAAGCCTCATGGCTAACGGGAGGAGGAACTTAACTTTTTCTGAGACTGAAACAGCGTACCAGGACCAAGGCTGGAATACACAGTAAGAAAAGTGAGATGTGGAGTATGGTGAACGCTGAAGGCAGGGTTCTGGTTGAAAAACCCCCCAACACGCAGTTCTTTTTGGAAAACCCAAGTTGTAACGGATAGGTGAAAGAGGTGCCGTGCGAGTCCCATCTTGTGAGTACTTGACTTTGGAAATAAAGATTCTGTATGGGGAGGAGATCAGCAGAGTGTCTGTAGGTAACGCGGGGGGCGGGGGTAGCTCGTGGAGTACTTCGCGCAACCTTGTTATCAATCGCTGACCGGGCTTCTGAGATCTGAATGGAGAAGCAGCGAGAGGGACGCTCTGGGCCCGCGATGGTGGAGGTGCCAGCAGAAACGTGCGCTGACTGCCGTTAGCCCCGGGTGCTCATTTTGATCACGCTCAAGAGCTGCCCCAACGGCAGCCTGGCAGGGCCACAAGCGCAGGCCCTGACGGCGGCCGCCCCCAGCGCCGCGGCGCTGACGGCTCAGTTTCTGCAGAAATGAAAAAGCGGAAGATAAGAACCCGCGTTAAGACGCTGGGCGCCAGCGGCCGGCAGACGCGGTCCGAGGACTCGGGCCCCCCGGCTCGCCGGGTTCCCCGGGCCCTGAGGGAGGTCAGGCCGCCCCCCGCCCCTCCCG